AAAAAAAAAAAAAAAAAACAGGTGAAGGAAAGGAGATTTTTTTTTGCAAAATACATCATGCAAAATGAGATGTAATAACCATTTTTTTTAAATTGTTGGGGATTCATTGAGAGTACAAGAAACCAGCTTACACTAATTGCATGTGTTAGGTTAAGTCCCTCTTACAATTGTGTCTTTCCCCCAAAAGGTGTGGCACACAGCAAGACCCCACCACCCTCCCTCCTTCTCTCTTTCTCTACTCTTCCTTTCCCCCACCCTGGCCTCCTCCTTTCAGGAGAGGAGATCTTGTAAAGTGGCACCTGCAGGAAGGTGGCTCCCACCTATAGCAGAAATGAATATTTGATTTTCCTGGTTTACACCCCTCTCTCACTGGTCACACAGCTGCAAAGAGTACCTTTACTTATTATGAAAATTCTATCAGATCATTTGAGAAACTATTCTTAGGTGTTTCTGTAATCCTTTTCCTCCTTGTGAATATTTCTGGTTATAACTAAAACAATGGCTGTACCTTCTAGCTTTTCATAATTAGGGCAAATTATATAGTAATGATTCTAAGGTAAGTGCACATTCACCCTGAGGATATACATATTCATGTCCATATAAGTATCTATCCCAATTACAAGCTTGGGAACAAGTAAGGATCTGTCATAGCACATTCCTCTGTGAATACTTTGGGATAAGGCAGAATCAGTCTTCAGTATTCCACTCTGAGAAGAACCACACTCAGGGCCTAATTGATAGCCTAAAATTATCATGTTTGGCAAAATGATAACAGCTTATTCAGATAGTCACACTTTAGTAAGAAATGTTTTAATTAGAAAATCAGTTTTGTTTATAAAGAAAATTTGAGAACAGATAAAAAAATCAAGTTAATAAAGGAAAAGAGCCCAGGTACAATGGCTCACGTCATACTAGCACTTTGGGAGGCCAAGGCTGGAGGATAGCTGAGCTCAAGAGTTCAAGACCAGCCTGAGCTAAAGTGAGGCCCCCAACTCTACTAAAAATAGAAAAAAACAAAACAAAACCAGGTGTTGTGGCAGCTACCTGTAGTCCTAGCTATTCAGGAGGCTGAGGCAAGAGGATCACTTGAGCCCAAGAGTTTGAGATTGTCAGGCTCTATGATGCCATAGCATCACCCAGGGTGACAGAGTGAGACTCTATCTCAAAAAAAAAAAAAAAAAAAAAAAAGTGAAAGAATAGTGTAGGGTAGCACCATAGCTCAGTGGGTAGGATGCTGGCCACATATACCAAGGCTAGTGGATTTGAATCTGGCCCTGGCCAGCTAAAACAACAATGACAACTGCAACAAAAGTATAGCCAGGCATTGTGGTGGGCGCCTGCAGTCCCAGCTATGACGCCATGGCACTCGACCCTGGGTGACAGCTTGAGACTCTGTGTAAAAAAAAAAGAAGAGTGTACTTTTCTGAGTACATCAGTAGTATGTTTAAATTTTGGAAAAGGAACTTAGGCAAATGAACAAAAAATCCAAGCTATACTTTAATATTGAAGGTTGACCCATACCTATGTTTTCTGAATAAATAAATAAAGGAAGGAAGGTGGGTTGGTAGGAAGAAGGAAGGAGAGAAGAATCAGAAGATGAAGGCTGGAGAATAGAGTCAGGAGGGAGTTTATATAGTGGCAGCAAATGGTATGACCAAGAAACTGGTCTTGATGAAATAAATTTTAAAAACCCCAATATATTGTGGGTAGGAAATGATTAGGGGCTCGGCGCCTGTGGCTCAAGTGGCTAAGGCGCCGGCCACATACACCCAGGTAGCGGGTTTGAATCCAGCCCTGGCCGCCAAACAACAATGACGGCTGCAACCCAAAAATGGCCTGGCGTTGTGGCGGGCGCCTGTGGTCCCAGCTACTTGGAAGGCTGAGGCAGGAGACTTGCTTGAGCCCAGGACTTGGAGGTTCCTGTGAGCTGTGATGCCATGGCACTCTCTCCAGGGGGACAGCTGGAGGCTCTATCTCAAAAAAAAAAAAAAAAGATTAGGAAATTGTTTCCAAAGGGTAATATTGACGTATATGATATCAGAAAGGAAATACTTTAGGATAATACATAGATCCTGGATGTTGCCTGGGAAATTGTGGAGGTAAATGTTACTGGACTTTTTTTTAATAAAAAGAAATAGTAAATAGTAAAATAATAGCCAAGTGTTTGAGTGGGTTATCATTTTTCTACACAAAGAATTTACCAAAAATGACAATGAAACAAAGAGTCAATAAGAAAACAGAGAACCAGGCACCAAAGTTATTAGTTCACTGATGAGACTAAGTGCCTTTACTCTTCTTGTATTTAAAAAAAAGTAGAGATCGGGCCCAGTGGTTCATACCTGTAATCCTAGCACTCTGGGAGACTGAGGCCGGTGGATCACCTGAGCTCAGGAGTTTGAGACCCAGCCTGAGCAAGGATGAGACCCAGGCTCTACTAAAAATAAAAAAATAACTGGGTGTTGTGGCAGATGCAGTGGAGATAGTTCATCCTTGACATGATCTGAAAGTGCACGCTTTGTTTGTTTGTTTGTTTTTGAGACAGAGCCTCAAGCTATTGCCCTAGGTAGAGTCCTGTGGCATCACAGCTCACAGCAACCTCCAGCTCCTGGTCTCAAGCGATTCTCCTGCCTTGGCCACCCAAGTAGCTGGGACTACAGGCACCTGCCACAATGCCCAGCTGTTTTTTGGTTGCAGCCTTCATTGTTGTTTGGCGGGTCTGGGCTGGATTCGAACCCACCAGCTCAGGTGTATGTGGCTGGTGCCTTAGCCGCTTGAGCCACAGATGCCAAGCCTGTTGGTTTTGAGACAGGGTCTCACTTTGTTGCACAGGCTAGAGTGCTGTGGTGTCATAGTTCGCAGCAATCTCAAATTCTTGGTGATCCTCTTGCCTCAGCCTCCTTAATAGCTAGGACTTAGAGAGGTGCTTGCTACAACACCCGGCTAATTTTTTGCTGTTTTGTTTACTTGTTGTTTTAGTAGAGACAGGTCTCACTCTTAGGCTGGTCTTGAACTCCTGTGCTTATGAGATCCACCCACCTTGGCCTTCCAGAGTGTTAGGATTACAGGCATGCCTGGCAGAAACTGTACCTATTATCTAGTGCAAAAATACTTCAGACAAGATTAATTTCATTATACATAGTGATGATTCTTGACCACCTCTATTTTTTAGTTGTAAGAATTTCAATTACCTGGCCAGGCTCGGTGGCTTACACCTGCAATCCTAGCACTTTGGAAGGCCAAGGCAAATGTATTGCTTGAGCTCACGAGTTCGACACCAGCCTGAGCAAAATCGAGATCCTGTCTCTACTAAAAATAGAAAAAAAATCCCACAAAACTGAGGCAAGAGATCACTTGAGCCCAAGAGTTGGAGGTTGCTGTGCTATGACACCACAGCACTCTACTCAGGGCAATAGTTTGAGACTCTGTCTCAAAAAAAGAATTTAAATTATCAAATTTGGGCTCAGCATCCATAGCACCATGGTTCTGGCACTGGCCACATACACTGAGGCTGGTGGGTTCAAACCTGGCCCGGGCTTACTAAACAACAATGACGACTGCAACAAAAAAATAGCTGGGCATTGTGGTGGGTACCTGTAGTCTCAGCTACTTGGGAGGCTAAGGCAAGAGAATCTCTTAAGCCCAGGAGTTTGAGGTTGCTGTGAGCTGTGACAGCACGGCACTCTACCCAGAGTGATAGCTTTCTGTCTCAAAAAAAAAATTTTTTTTTCTAATACTTTCCCCAAAAGCTCAGCATAGAGCCAGCCTTACAGCAGCTGGGGTAATACATTATCTTAGCTCTCTTGTCTTCTTCTAAGTTGGCCAACAAAGCCTAAATTAAACCATGCTTTACTGCTATTTCCTCTCTAACTTGCACGCATTGCTCCTAGAATAGAACAAATACCCTTTAAATGTTAACTTTGCAAACCCAACCCTCTAAAATAACAGTAAATAAATACTATACATGGATACAGTGATTGTATATTACCTTTATTTTGACATTAAAAAATCTAAAATCTGATTTATAATCAAATAATGCCTTAGTTTACCATGGGTTAAGCATATTTTCTTTTATTTTTTATTTTTATTTACTTATATATTTTGAGACAGAGTCTCACTCTGTCACCCTTGATAGAGTGCCATGGTGTCACAGCTCACAGCAACCTCAAACTCTTGGGCTTAAGCGATTCCCTTGTCTCTGCCTCCCAAGTAGCTAGGATAATAGGCACCCACCACAACCCCCGGCTACATATTTTCTTTTATTTATAAATTGCTCATATGCTTCACATATAATCTGGTCTCACATCCACTTTCAAAAGTCCCCCAGAGAGTCCTCTTTGAGTTGGGAGTCACAGTGGGGAGAACCAGTAAGAGAACTTTAGGAAGAGAGAAAGAGGGTATGATTAGGTGAGGAGAGGAGACGGGGAGGAGGTTCCTTGGCCCCTCTCCCAGCCCTAGCCTTTTCTCAGGGGGAACAGTAGCATGGTGGTGATCCTTATTAAAAAAAAACAACTATTAGTATTAATAAGAGAAATAAATGCTAAAATATGTATTGCCATTTTCCTCTGGTATTGCAGTCACTACCTAGGCTAAAATATAATTACTTGTCAAGGCTCAGGAAATGTTGAGTGTGGCTACTCAAACCTATGCTTTAGTATGGAAGTGTGGAAGTCAGGGGGAATTGCCTAACTAAATAGTTGATTTGTACTCAAGCTGCCTTTTGATTTTAGACCCTCCTCTCTGCTGTGCACACCAGTAAACACAGAAGGCTTTACTTGCTGAATTTTTAGTAAAGAGACATTTTGTAGTGGTTTCAGGATTTCATTTTAATGTTTTAACACTTTTTAGATGTATACAGACTCCAGTATTATATGGTTGCTATTATTTGTTACTATTAACTTAAAACATAATACAATTTCGTACAACCAGTAATTAGAAGTTACATCTTTAATCATACCCAAATGTTCTTTTGGCTTATGCTGGTAGTTTTCAGGTGGAGTTAACTGTGATCATACATCAGATAGTTGATTTCAATTATGTATGAAGGTGGTTATTAAAATAAGTGAAATTTACCCAATTAAACTGTCTCAAAAGAACCGCTTCTTCAGCCTGTCCTAAGAGGCACAATTATGTTCATTTCCCCCCTGTTGCTTCTTAAAAATCTATAACAAATTTTAAAATAACAGCACTGTCACACTTTCTCTGTTTTCCTGTTAGTATAAATGCTTGCAAGATCTGTCACTAATTCTGAGCTGAAATTGTTGTCAGTATCTTTAACCAATTGAATACGTTCTTACAAGGTTTAGAACCTAGGTAGTTGCTGAAAACATTGAGACCACCAATGGTCTTTTCTTTATCTTGTAATTTTAAATGCTATCAGTCTTTTAAGGAGAGTTTTAATCTTTTTTGCAGATTTTTTAGAAACTTGAGTTCATCTTTGCCAAAATATCTTCCTCCAAAAGAATACGTGCTGATTGCTTTTCTCCTTGTCGTTATTAAATCTCAGATATGCTTAATTTCTCCTACGCCATCAATTGCCTATTTGCTTGCACCTCTTACAGACCATGAAAAATCCAGGTCTCCTGTGCTGAATTCTCAAATATTTCAATCTCAGCCACTCATCAAGAATTTTGTAACGTGTCCCTTCTCAATCTGCTTGTTCTAGGCTGACGTTTTGTGAGGAGGCTGGGGATGTGATTTGTGATTATGGGGAGCAGGATACTTACAACAGGGCCAAGTGCCTGGCTTTAGCTCAAATTATCTACAGTGCATGTGGCCTACACAAGAAAGTTCTTCTTTCCCTGTGTAGACAGGGTCAAATTTATGGGGCTATGGAATACATACATCAATACAAGTACTTTACTTTTGGTAAGTGGAAAAGCCTACTTATTTGTATACATTTAAATTATAGAGTTTAATTGTAAGATCACTCATAATAGCAGGCAATATTTAAAGATGTTATAGAATACAATTTATATATCCTCAATAGGAGATTTCTTTTGTAATTTTTCATGAAAATAGTTAAGTTGTAGTTGATTGGCTTTCATGCTGGACATTCAAACATATTATGTGTTTCCTTAAATTATAAACCTTTGATAAACCGGACAGTCCTGGAAATAGACAGTTTTAAGGTAAATTTAGCAGATATGCGGGACCATGACACATAAAGGATTTTTAAAAAAATAACTGGCTTGAGGGAGTAGGGTGCCGGCCCCATATACCGGAGGTGGTGCGTTCAAACCTGGCCGCGGCCAAAACTGCAAATAAAAACCTGAACTTATTTACCATCTGTAATGTTCTGAACTATAACATATTATAGGCATTAGAAATTAAGAATTAGGGGAGTAATGTTTATTTGAAAATTTTGAAATACCTAGGTTACAATTGGGCAGTGATCTGGGAGAAATAGTAGACCTCAGAGTGACCTGCTTGAATGAGCAGATCTCTTCCTGCGAATCAGATCTGGCAGTGACCTGAACCCTTCTTCCAGGCCAGAGCCAATCCTGATTTGCATACTATGTATTCCTGTTCTAAGAAGATACAAAATGGGAACCCTGCATAGCAATTTTAGGTCACATTTTTCCAGAAGAAAGAACCTTTTGGGGCTGTTGAAACAGATCCTTTCCAAATAAGAAATCAACTTTGTCTTAGAATCTGTGTATTTTTCGAAGTTACTAATTTCTTCATTCATTAATAACAGCATGCCTGATACTGTTACTGTAATGACTCATAGCTAGGCTTTTTACATACATTATATCACTTAATCCTTATGTTGACTCTATGAAGTAGGTTTTCTTATTATCCTTATTTTATAAACTTAAAAAACTGTGTTTCAACAGAGAGGCCAAGGCATCAAGAGGTAAGTGATTTGCCTTTGGTTACATAGCAACAGAACAGAATCTGCTGTAGTAAGTGCTACTGAATATTTGACTAGATTATATATTCTATTATTAAGTATACAGATTCAGTTTCTGTGTTAACTATTATTTTTCCACATGTAAGACTAATACTAGTTAGTCATTGTTTATACCTGGTATATAGGTTTTATTACTCTGGGAATTTTTTTTTTAATGGGGTCTCACTGTGTTGTCCAGGCTAGAGATCAGTGGCTATTCATAGATGCAATCCTAATGCACTGCAGTCTCAATCTCTGGGCCCAGGGATCTTCTACCTTAGTCTCCCAGGTAGCTGGAATTATAGGCATGTGTGCCAGTGTACCTGGTTACTCCTGGAATTTTTATTAAATGAAATGTAACATTTTTTATTATAAAATTTACCTCACATAAGTTCATAGAATCATGATTGACTCATTGTCATATTGTTCTTCTAATAATGTTTTCTACTTAATTAATTAATTAAATTAATTTTTTTTTGAGACAGTCTCACTCTGTCACCCTGGGGTTTGGTGCTGTGGCATCATCATAGCTCACAGCAACTTCAAACTCTTGGGTTCAGGAGATCCTCATGCCTCAAGCTTTTCAAGTAGCTGAGACTATAGGCATTTGCACAACGCCTAGCTAAATTTTCTATTTTTTTAATAGAGATGGAGTCTTACTCTTACTCAGGCTGGTCTCAAACTCATGAGCTCAAGCAATCCATCTATCTCAGCCTCCTAGAATAGTAGGATTACAGACATGAGTCAGCACTCCTGGCCATGTTTTCTGCTTTAAAATTATTAAATATATATTGTAATTTATTTAGAACCTTGATAGTTATCCTCAGAATTTATTTAGCACAATATCATAAAGTGAAAATGAAAGTAACCTAAGAAAAATTAAGCTTACAAGGTAGAAACAATGCTTGAAAATTCACTTTGCTTATTTTACTTTTTTTTTTTTTTTT